ACACGAGATTGGATAAAATCAGTAACTTTATTAGGATTCTGTAATTTGGGAACCAAAGTAATTGTTAAAGAGTTAACAGCCTTAAGCATTTTACCACTACTGAAGAAATTGATCACAGCATCGGTAACAATATCTGTACCCACTATTTCCCAAGATTTTTTAAAGAAGTCTACTGAAAAACCATTTAGTCTAGAAGCTTTATTGATATTTAAGAAAATAAAAACCTCTTTAATTTTAGCTGGGGACATATTAGTCACAATGGTTTCCTTTAAGTCATTTAGGAGCTTATGCATCAACACAAAACTTAAAAAACTAACACTGTCTTTTGTGACAACTAGATCCTCTTTGCCCAACAACTGTTGGTAGAAGCCAACTATCTCATCTTGTATATCCAGCGGGAAAAGATGATTGGGCACCATCTGCTGTAAACAGAACTGAAATATTATTTTTAGACCTCTTAGCTCTTGGCATCCTCTGAAAATATCTAGTATTTTGGTCACTTTCCTGTACCCTTATTACTCTAGACTTTTGCCTGAATAAAGATTCCTCGGCTGATGAATATGTAGCTAGCAATGAGAGCAACTATATTTCATCATCAATCTACCAAGAAGAAGGATTTGCCATCATAGCAACCTGTAAAGATTCAAGAGCATAGAGAGGCTGGCGGGCTGGTGTGTGGTAGCTGCTGAGAGAGACAAGAAACTATGGTGGTTGTTGCTAAGTTTTTCATTTTGTTATCTGATTGTCTCATGTTCTTTGGTAAATAGAAGAAATCGAAGAGGAAAGAAGTTTTCGGTGGGTAGGGGTGAGTAAATTTTGGTATTAATTGAAAAATCGAACTGAATCGAACCAAAAAATCTTTTTTTTTTTTTTTTGGTTTTTAAGACAAAACTGTTTTTAAAAAATCGAACTGAAATAATTTTTATTTTTATTTTTGGCTTGGTTTTTAAAATTTTACCTTTTGGTTTAAAGCAAATTTTTTTTTAAAAAAAAATTTATTTTTTTACATATAAAAAGAAAATTAAAACAAAAATTAAACCTAACTCTCTGTCTCTTTCACTTTAGCATTGGCAGCAGTCTGCCCGGCCCTTCTTTTCTTCTAGAGACAAACTCCTCTCCCTCTCCCTCTCCCTCTCCCTCTTCCTCTTCTTCTCCCCACAAGCTATAAACAACCACATCCCTATTTTATTCTTTTAATCATAGACATCCCCTTTCTATTCTCCTACTGCCACAGACAACCTCTTCCTCTTCTCTCACAAAGTCACAGACACCTCTTCCCTTCCGTTCTTCTCTTACATTCTAACTCTCTGCCAAAACTCGAAGCAAGATCCACCAGCCACCATACAAGCCACAAACCACCAGTTCTTTCATCTTCATTTATGATTTTCATCTCCATTTAAGGTAAGAATATTGATAAATTTAGTTTGAAATTTTAGTTTTATTTCAATTTAGAATTATTAGGGATTCATCAATTGATGGTTTTTGTGATTCGGGCTTGGGAGTGTGACACTGTTGATGGTATGGTCGTGGTTAATTGTAGTTAATTTAAGTTTATCTATGGTTTCATCGATTGGTTGAGAATGTTGCTAAATTTGGGGTTGACAACTAAACTGGTAAGAGGAATAATTGCTAAATTTCTACTTCGGTATTTTTTGGTTTTTATTGATAATTGATTTCTGGGTCTTGATTACTATTAATTGATACATAGATTGTGGGTTTGTTAAGAATTATACGATTGTGGTGAATCTTGGTGTCTAGGTTTGACACTCGAAATATATCTCTTATTTTCCATAAAATTTTGGCCGATTCCACTGTTATTGTCAAAACTTGTTGATGCTATTTAATAAATCTGGTGTTTGGCATAATGGTCTATCCTTTATATCACAAATGATTTTACTGCCAATTTATTTAGTCTTAATGGTGTAGTTGTATAAGATAATATTAATATCAGTTCAGTTGTATTGAGTTAGAAATTATTTTAATTATGAATTATGGCCTTGCAGGAGGAATGCAAAATGCCAGCCTAGAATCCTTCACTAGTTCACTTAAGGAATAGTGAAATAAGTATTCCAATTACAAATTGGTGAAATGAAGTTAAAGAAGCACATAGCAAAATAAGCAATCCAAATTACAAGCATTTTTCACTTGTTTTGTAACTAGCATTTTTTGTTTTTTTGGTGTGAAGTCAATTCAGTGGAGTAAGCAATCCATTCTGGTTTAATGGGCAATGGCTCAGCCATATAATTAAAAATAAAAAACCTATGGATAAAGGCCCAAAGCCCAATTAGAAAAATGAATTCGATTTTAACCGAATTAGTCGAAATATGGTTCGGTTTCGGATTTTGATTTTCGTAATTCAGTTAATCAAAAACTGAATCTAAATTATCCGAAATCGAACTGCTTGATCACCCCTACTGGTGGGTGCTACTGGTTTTAGAGTTAAAAGGGTTTATTTGTATAATATTTTATTTATATGAAAAAACAAAATTAATTAAACGGTCGTGGCTGGCCCGATGCAAAATTTGCCAAGCCCGAGACCGGCTATTCTATCAACAGAGATGGGTTGAGCCGTCAGGCCATCTTTAGCTGGGCCGAGCCCACTCCGGCCATGAACACCTCTAATGCTCAGGTGTCCTGGTGTAATTAATGACGTGCTTTGCCTGTTTTTTACTACTAACAATGACTTTTTCCTCTTATTAAAAGAAATTGTCAAATGGGAAAATTTTCTAGATATCACAACTCACAATTTCCAGCCACACGCTCTCTCGAGAAAAATTATGTATAAGAAAAAAAAAAAACATATGCACAGATTCCATTAGGATCCCAGTTGCCTTTTTTCACAAAGCCAACCAACAAATCAAAATATGAACTTCATTTGTTTTAAAATCTTACAAGCCCACTCCATTCACTGTCAATCAAAACTAAAAAAGAATAAATTACACCCAAAAATACTCTCTTGGTGCTTCGTGGCGGTTGATTGCGTAATTCCTTTAAGTTTGGGTTGTCGTTGACGGTGGAGAAAATAGAGAGGAGAAACTATATTTATATGACAAAAAATAAAAATAAAATTGTCGTAGCTGACCCGATGGAAATTTTGCCCAGCCCGAGACCGACCCTTCTATCAGCTGGGATGGGCCGAGAGTGCAGGCCGAAATCCTGGCCCAGATAAGTCCATCTTTACTTGGGCCGGGCCTGTTCCGCCCATGAACACTTCTAATACTCAGGCGTCCTGGTGTTATTAATTTTGTGCTTTGCCTGCTCTTACCGTCCTCTTTTGGGTTGTTCTTGCTTACACATGAGCGGCGCGTAGGCTTGCTTTGGGTCAACTTGGCCTCCCAAAGTTAAATTTGACCCTATTACTTTTCCAATTAGAAATAAATACAAGCCCCCCAAAAATTGGTTGTTGTACTTTGACCCTATGTTATCACTTTAAATGTATGTTCATACTTATAATGTTTTCAGATTCACCACGTAAAAAAAATTAGTTAGTTTCTTCGGTCCTCTTCTGCTTACTTCAAATTTATATTCAGCCATGTAATTTATTCACACTGGTCCTTCCATTTATTTTGCTCTACCTCCATCACTGCTTTTACACGTGCCATTGTACTTGATTGCGTGCATGTGACCAGTTGTCTCTAAGTCCACAATCCTTACGTTTGCATTTTCTTCTAGATTTAATCTTTTCTGAATTCTTTTTCTGTAATTTACTTAATTATATGATTTCTAATTATCACTTTTTCATTTAAAAAAATTTAATTCTTATTATTTTGAAATGATATTTTGCATATACGTTGCAAAAATGTGATACATGTTATGCAAAAAAAATTTAAATTTCTTCAAAATCGAAAAGTATTTTTGTATTAAAATCATAAAAAACTTAAGAAAAATATAAAATAACTTGAAATGATTCTAAAATTTTTAAAAAATTTTAAATAAATATTTTTGAATGATTTCTATTATATGATTATTTATATGATTATTATTTTTTTAATAAAAAATCAAGAAGGCAGACTAAATATTAAAAAAAAATTCAAGAAGATCAAACTAGAATTTAAAAATCTAATTTTAAATTAGATAAAAATTCAAGAGAAGTTTAATCCATTTAATTTTTTTTTATGAAATTTAATTTTTAAAGTCAAACATGGCAGCTGCAATTTCACTACTGTTTAGCCACCTTTAAATGGTGAAATGCATTGTTTTGATTTTTTTTATGAAATTCAATTTTTAAAGTCAAACATGGCAGCTGCAATTTCACTACTGTTTAGCCAGCTTTAAATGGTGAAATGCAATGTTTTCAAGGCAAACGTAACCTCATTTTGTTATTAATATTGTTGTGTTTGGTCTAAATTTATTTTCCCTGCTGAGCATTTTGCTTTTACGAGTGTTAAGTTCTTGATAGGAGAGTTACATTGCATGTTGATTGAAATTGACATGTCATACTTTTTTTTTTTTTTTTTTTTAAGTTTTCAATATACTTTATTGTTTGTTTGGATATGTAAAATATATAGATGCACAAAACGAATATAAATATTTAAATTTTTTTATTTATATAAAAATTTGAATTTGAGATTATTATACGATAAAAATTCTTATTATTCAAGTTAACTCTCAATAATATAATGAGCTAGTTAATTTAATTTTTTACAAATATATAGACTCAAAATTAATGATTTTATTAAAATGTAACTGAATAGTCATAAAAAAAAAAAATTCAAAAGTGCATTGATAATGATTTTTACGAAAAAATAAGTTAAAACATGAACCTTATGTTTTTATTATCTTTAAGTATTTTCAATGTGCTTGAAGAATTAAATATAAGAAACAAATTAAGAAAAACTCAGTTAAAAACATGTGTTTTCAATTACCCTTTCATTTTTCATTTTTAGGATGCTGTAGGACTGCTCTATATAAAGCATGCAAAACCATGCAATATGAGCACACCAAACAATTAATTAACTTGCAAATTAAAAAGAGGGGGCAATTCATCTAGTGAGATTGATATGGCAGAGAACATTGCAGAAAACTGGAAGGTTTTCAGTGGAGCAAACAAGTGGGAGGGTCTTTTAGACAAACCCATAAACCCTGATTTTTTGCGCTATCTTATTCACTATGGAGAAAGGGTTCAAGCTATTCGTGATGCCTTTAATTCTCAGAAGCTATCTAATACGTTTGGTCTTCCCCGATTTCCACCAGAAGAGTTGTTCTCCAAGGTGGGTCTAGAAAAGGCCAATCCATTCAAATATGAAGTAGTTTAACTACTTTTATTTGAAATCAGAAGGTTTCGACCAACGTGAAGTTGTGGATCTCCAAGGATCTGCTTGGTTCGGTTACGTAGCTGTGACCAAAGATCATGAGACGTTAGGGAGGAGAGATATTTTAGTTTGCTGGAGAGGAACTGAGATGGACTCAGAATCGTGGCAAGACATACAAAAGGATCTTGTCTCAGCTGCTGACATTTTTGGATTAACCTACGATCCAAAGATGCACCATGGCTTTCACAATGTCTACATGGCTAAGAGCCGCGATTCCACCTAGAATAATACCAGCGCCAGAGAACAGGTCAAAATATTGACACAAACTTATTTATTTATTTATTTATTATTATTATTATATTTTTTGAGAAGGACATATTACTGTTATACAAACACTAATTGCCACATTCATTGGCATTTCAGAATGAAAAATTAACTCAATTTGCATGAAAATTTTGACAGAATGAAAATTTGAAATATCATACAAATATATAACAATTAAACATGATTAAAAGATAGTAACATGGTAGAAACATAGGAATATTTTAGAAACTTAGAAATAGAATATGTTGAAGATCAGACTAAATATTATATAACGATATATTGAGTCATTTACTCTTAATTCTATTCATTTGAATCAAACATGAACGTTATTTTTGTTATACATACAGGTCTTGGCCGAGGTTAGGAAACTTGTGGACTATTATGGTGAGAAGGGCGAGGAAGTGAGCATAACAGTGGCAGGATACAGCCTAGGTGCAGCACTTGCAACGATTACTGCGATGGACATAGTTTCAAATGGGTTTAACAAGCCTACTGGATCAGGCAAAACATTTCCTGTCACAGCCTTTGCCTATGCAAGCCCTCGAGTTGGAGACAAAGGCCTCCTAAATGTATTCAGTGATCTTATCGTTATTCATATCTTACGCATATCAAATTTCCTTGATCCCGTTCCTGTTATTCCTTTATTTGATGGCTATGTAGCCGTGGCTAATGCGGAGCTGATAATTAACAGCAGCAAGTCACCTTACCTGAAGGATACCAAACCACATGAATTGGAAATTTATCTACATGGAATTGCGGGCTACAACGGGCAGTTTACAGACTTCGATTTGGTTGTCCCTCGTGATCTTGCACTGGTAAACAAAACTTTATATATACTGAAAGACAACGACAAGCTTAAGGTGCTACCAGAATGGTGGCATGTGAGGAACAATCTAATGACACAGCATGAGAATGGATTCTGGGACATCGATACTGATTATGTGGCAGATCCTCCAAGTGAAGACGATATTGCAGTATTGACAAAGAATGCACTTGCCTGACGGTACTGGGCACGCAATAAATAAATAAAAAGTTCAAATGCTACCAATTGGATATATGGTGGCATTAATTCATAAAAAAATAATGGTTTGCTTTTGTCAAACCGCTGCCGTCTATGTAAGCAGCAAGGAATGGGTCGGCTTACGGATTTTCCTAGCTGGTCATAGATTTGTATTTTGTGTGATGCTTTCAAGCTGTGCTGTGTAGGTTGCCTTGGACTAGCCTGTCGATGCAGCTTCTATATCCTTGCAGATTGCGGTTTATTATAACCTGTTGGCCTAATTCAAGTCGCTTGCAACCGACCTTGAATTGTACTATCAATTATACATGTGTGTGTTGGGATACTTCAAAACTAATAAAACGATTATAGATCACAGAATGCTAGTGTTATGATTTGTAAAAGTAAAAATCAATTAACTAAGTAGATTAGATGCAAGTGTAGAGACATGAGAGGAGGAGTGGACAATGTTAATAAAACACAAGTCAAGTAGCAAGCAGAAAGGTGATCAAAATCTAAATAAAGCGAGTAGTTGAAATCCAAATAAATTGAGTTTTAAATGTTTTCTGGTACGTAAGTGAGAGAGTTTTGAAAGAAAAGATTAAAGGTTTTTGTTAGAGATTAGAAACTTCAAATGATATGAGATTGATATTTATAGTGTAATGATGAGGGTCTTTTTGACTTGTTAAGATCATACTACGGCACTTATATTTGGATAATTAGATTTGATTTAGAGAAATTAATTATGTTCTTTTGAATTAAATTATTTTAACTTGTTAGTAAAAATTTGAAAAAAGTAACAACTAAAACTTTTTTTTTTTTTTTTGTGAATTTTTTCTTTGAACCCACCAACTCAATTTCATTAATGCATCTCAAGAACAAAGCATGGACACATGTCTTTTCAAAATACTTGTGTCCATCTTTATGTAATTTAAGATCTTGTGTTGGGTGAGGTCTATTTTTAATCTAATTCGCATGTTGTGTAGTTTGGATCCATATCAAAATAAAAAAAAGATAACAAGAATTATAACATAATAAAATTAGCAAACTTAATTAATTTTGAAGAAAAATCAAACATATATTAATATATTTCAGTTATAAAATTTGTATCTTGCTTTTGTTGTTTTTGTCGAGGAAAATGATGCTAAAGATGATATTTGAACTTGTCTATCCGTATTGCATACCACTTAAAAATACATGTGGCTTCATTGTGCTACAATTTAGGAAAATTTTTCTCTTTAAATTTTTCAGAAACCTAAACCCAGATTGTAATAAATAAACCAAGTTCTGAAGTCTGTCTAAGAAATAAGATTTTATACTAGTGCCGCTATCTTTATTTTTATATTTTCTATTTGTTACAATTTTATTAGAGTTTTGAAAAATTCAAAGAATGAAATAGAAGCTACACTACTGTTTAAATCTAGTAAGCATAATAGCTAATAAGGATTCAAGGAAATCATTACAAATTTGGAAAACCATTGGGGAGACCTAAAGAAATAACCTATTCTTTAGTGAATTTTTTTTAGCAATAAGAGTATTCTCAGGTTAGCTTTGGTGCACATTGAGATTAATTTTTTCCTTAACGTGGCTAAAGAATAATCCACACAGTATCTTGAATTATATATATATAATAACAAAATGACTGAGAACGTCCAAGAGTCCTAATTAATTCAATTTAATTATTACTCAAAAGGTTTTTAAACTTACATTGTTGTTTGGTTACTGTTGGATTATTCAAGTGTACAAACTTTTGGGAATTGTCCTTTTTTTAATAAAACATACAAAACCAAGCAATATCACATACATAGGTAATATAAGATTGATATGGCCGGCATAGCAGATCATTGGAAGGCTTTTAGTGGCTTCAACAACTGGAATGGCCTTTTGAACCACCCCATCAACACTGATTTCCGACGCTATCTTATTCACTACGGTGAAAGGATAGGAGGTATCGGTGATGGCTTCAATAATGTCAAGGCATCAAATTCATTTGCACTTTCTCGTTATCCACCGGAAGAGTTCTTCACTCATGTAGGTCTGCAAAATGGCAATCCGTTCAAATATCAAGTGACCAAGTACTTTTACTTGAAATTGGATGATTTTGCCGCCTATATGGAGTTTGATATCAAGGAGTCTGCTTGGATAGGATATGTAGCTGTAAGCACAGATGAAGGGAATATGATCTTAGGGAGAAGAGATATTCTGGTTTGCTGGAGAGGAACAATCTTGGGGTCTGAATGGGCAAAAAATCTTCAAGTTGATCTGATATCAGCTGCTGATATTTTTGAAGATGCCAAGAATCCCAAGATGCACCATGGTTTTCACAACGTTTACTTGGCCAAAAGCTCAAACTCCAAGTACAATAAGACTAGTGCCAGAGAACAGGTAAATGTTGAAAACATTTGTCATTGTTTGAATGTAGAAGGAAACTTTTATATTCCACATATATGTATATATATATATAAAATCTTATTTTTGCTATCCAGGTTCTTGCCGAGGTCAGGAGGCTTGTGGACAAGTATGCTCACAGTGGTGAGGAGGTGAGCATAACCGTGGCTGGCCACAGCTTAGGTGCAGCCCTTGCGACATTGAATGCCATGGACATAGTTTTCCATGGTTATAACAAGCCTGCTGGATCATGTACAGGATTTCGTGTCACAGTCTTCGCGTATGCAAGTCCCCGCCTTGGAGCCAAAGGCTTCCGAGATGTATTCAATGGCCTTGATAATCTTCATATCCTGCGCATAAGAAATGCGAAAGATATCATTCCTAGTCTTCCACCGGCTTTCTACAATACCTACATAGACATAGGTGAAGAGTTGGAAATTGACAGCAGCAAATCACCGTACTTCAAGGATCCAAATGCCGAACCACATAATTTGGACATTTATCTACATGCAATTGCAGGTTACCAAGGGAAATTTAGAGAATTCAGGTTGGTTATCGATCGCGACATTGCACTGGTTAACAAATCTGCAGATGTATTACTGGAAAATTATAACATCCCGCCTAATTGGTGGACCGTGATGAACAAGGGAATGATCCAAATGGACAATGGATGCTGGAAGTTGAAGGACTATGTGCCGGATCCTCCAAGTGAAGATGATATTGAAGGGAATATTAGCACTACATTCCTCAAAGACAATACGTCACTAGCATGACAATAGTGATATTAAGAAAGATTCAATTTGCTACGAGAGAATCACAGCGGCAATACTGATGACTCCGCCGGAATGCGGTCTAGCTTAATTAATTTGGGATTTTTCTTAAATTCGGTTTGCTTGTGTTTATGTCCTATCACACGATATATTAATATTATTTGTATACTTATTTTTCAGGAAAAGAAAATATATATTATAAAAAAAACTAAAATAAAATCACAATTTAGTATTCACTATATTATTTGAAACACTATTCATCCAGATTCAAATGCATTATTTCTTTCGCTATATAATAGTATTTTTATAGTTTCTAAATATTTTTAAGATATTTATTATTAAAGTTTTCATGATAATATTACACTTTGGTCTTTTTTTAAATATTGTTTTTTCGATCCTTAATTTTTAGTTTTATTTTGGTCCCTTTTTTGTTTCATTTTAATCGTTTTGATCCTTGCTTTTTTCTCTGATTTTTCAATTAAAAATTTTAAGGTAAAAAGACGTTTAGAAAAAAAATTACAAAATAAGTTTTTAAATAAAAATATGAATAAATATAAATAAATAATATTTTTTAATAAAATTTTTATAAAAATATAAAGAATAATCGATCAAATACAAAATTTTGAGTAAAAAATTATAAAATTGAATGAATTTTTGTTTTGTTTTGATTTAATATATTTTGATAGATGCATAATATAACACAAGATATTAAAATAAAATAATTTTTTTAAAAATAATTTTATATATTTTATCTGATCCACTTAATAGCGTTGGTAAAAAAAAACTATCATACATTAATCACAAGCAATTTGCTGCACGTACACTATCTTCCTAGCAATTATTGATTGGAAGACGCATATCTCATCAGTAGGTCATACACTTGTAACATTCATTGCACTAGTTACATTTAAGCAATGCATTACTAATTAACAACCGTATGCTTTTTTTTCCTTTAACACAAACACTTGTTATCATCGAAAAAACCACTTCCATTTTTATTAGTAAAAAAACAAAAAACAATAATAATAAAAATAAAAAATAAATACAAAAACAAAAGGAGGGAAACAGATTGAAATCTATCCCAATCCTTTTTTGATTTTTTTCAAATTCAATTTATTCCGGTTGTTTAGCTAGTCACGATCATAGTTCAATAATGAAAGTTGAGTTCAAATTCGACAGTTAAAAATTCAAATTTTAAGATATTTGATTTAAGATGAAACTCGAATTTGAAAGCATTTAAGATGAAACTCAAACAGCAAGTGTCTATAAACGGGCAGCATCTAGGGTAGAGGGGGGGGGGGGGGGGGATCGAAAGATTTAAAGGGAAACTACTTGCTGCATTCTTCTGGGTTTTCTGGGCATTAGCTGTAGTGTTCTTCACGGTCTTCAAATTCTGGGTTCCAGTTCATCCATTATTGGATTTTTTTACTCAATTGTTTTTTTGTTTTTGGGTTCAGTTATAGTCATTTCACGATTCCTAATTCAGATTTCAAGGTTGGGAGGTTTAATTTTGTTTCTTTCGATTTTCATTCGAATATTTTCTGGGCAGCGTTGGTTTTTCAGTTTTGTGTTTTTCACTTTTCTGGGTTTGCTTTCCAAGCTCCTGGTTTCATTCCATTTTTTTTTCTTTTCATTAAAAATTTCTGGGCAGAATCCTTCGTTGGTTCAGCCCCAATAATACATTAATTTCCAAGCAAACCGTCTTCATCAAATCCAGTTGAAAGCCATTGTTCTAACCTGCAAAATCAACAGCAATCGCAACGACAAGTCCCAAAATTGTCCTTCATTCCCTTGGTGTTTCTCAGGTAAATCCTAACGCCAAAATCATTCCGCTTTTTGTTATCTTAATTCGTAACTTGTTTTTAGTAGAGTGCGAATTCAAAAAAAAAAACAGAAAAAAGAAAAAAAAAGAAAGAGAATGGGACGCTAGTGCCAGGGAAGGCAGAGGCGATGAACGAGAGAGAGAGCTCAAAAGCTTAAAATTCATGTTTCTGATATGAAAAAAATGAGGAATAAAGAAGGGGAAGTGGTTTTGAGTTTGGGGTCCAGCAGTGAGTTAAACTTTTAGGGGGAATCATGTGGGTTAGGCTTAACCCAACCCACACGAACTGAATGGCTGGGTTGGCTTCAACCCAGCCCAAGCCTGGCGAGGGGAATAGGGAGGAAAGAGGCTGGACGGTTTCTATCCACCCTTTCCCTTTCCTCCAAATTTAGAAGAAAGCTGGAGTTAGTTAAGCCTTCACAAATAAAAAAAAATGATAAATAAAGAAGTAAAGAAACGGAATGGTAAAAGTGAGGAGCTGGAAATGAAAAAAAAGAAAAAAAGAAACGGAATCGAAAAAGGGGTATGAGAGAAATAGGGTACAGGATAGTGGGTCTAGGGTCCAAGCTAATTTTTTTTTAACATTTTTTTTATAGCTTGATCATTTTTTTTATTTCTCGTTTTTTCCTTTTTTCCTTTTTGTTTGTTTGCAGTACTTTAAAGTTGGCATTTTAATTTTTAGGTGAACTTATTTTAGTGTGTTGTTAGATTAGAAAAAATAATTAAAAAAAATATTTAAAATTTTTAACGAAGTTTCCTATCTAATAAAGATCGACGTTTGATAAAAAAAATATAAAATTAATTCTTGACGAAGTCTTCTATGTAATAGGGATCGACGTCACACAAAAAAAAATAGTTTAATCGAGATTTCTTTTGACACATTGGTTGTGTCAAGGCTTCAAGTGGATCCGATATTTGAATCGACATGTCGCTCGATGAAGGAGACCGATGATGCCACGCTCAAAACTAAAAAAATTAATTTGGCTTTAAAAATTGAAATTTCAAATCATAAAATAATTTGACATAAATGAAACATTTTAGGATTAAATTAGACATGATATCTTTCTTCGTAAAGGGCATTTTTGGATGAATAAATAACTTTTTAAAAGTATAACTAATTTCTTATCATAGAATCTCTGAATCAGTACTATAAAATTAATATTAGATGACGACTCCAAGTTTGTAAATAAAAACTAACTTTGTAAAAAAAAATTTATTTTTTAAAAATCTCGTCTGATGTCGGAAAGCGATAACTCTCACGTAAGGATACTGAAGGGATTGGTGTTACGTTACTGAAAGATAAGATGTCACTAGCAGAATAATGAAATTAATAAAGAGTCATTGTCGCCACCAGCGGATCACAATGACAATACAAAGCAGAGGAAAAATATGACAAGGAGGTGCACGTCCATGAACAGTATGATACGCTAATGCATGCAGATGGAAAGAGACCTTATCGCGACTTGTACCAATTAATTTATTAATTAAGGGATTATTGGAGTAATTTTGCCAAAAGTTTAGGATAATAAACACTTGAATAGGAAGTGAAAAAATTATAAAATTCATACAATTTTTTTGGACTAGGTGCTGTTGGTCTTGCGGTAAGTTGTCCTTGTTGATTGTGTTTTAACGTCTACCACTGTATCCTTATTAAATTCATAAATATTATGTAGTAGAAATATTATGGCAATAAAAAAGAAAATTGGGTTAGTGCGTCAAGCACAACAGAAGGCTTCTAGTGCGTTTTATTTTTTATTCATAAAAAAGTTTATGAGTTTTGAATTAAATAATAGAAGTAATTCTCTTCCATTATGTAATTACTAATTAAAATGAAATATTATTTTACTGAAAAAACCTATTTAAGTATACAACGAGTACATAACTATCAGACTAAACCTATTTGTCTGGTTTTTTTTTTTTTGGTGATTCTTCTTTGATATATATTCTGAAATTTCTAACTTTGAGGAGATCATCCATTTTTGTTTAAAAACGAAAATAAGTGTAATCGTTTCCCTTTCATACGATGAAGCTAAACAAGAGAATCCAATTATTAAATTAAGTAGCACTAGTTTTTTATCTGCACTATGTTGCAGATCGAAAAAAACATAGTAAATTTATTTTTAAAAAAATCATTCAGTTTGATGGTCCATGTTGCATTATGGATTCATGAAAATATATCAAACAAAAAAAAATCATTTAATTTGATGATTTTTTAAATCAAAATTTTATTTTTGACTAATTATTCATTATGTTTTTCATAATTTTTTATCGAAAAAATGATTTATTCTTATTTATTCAAATTCTTAACTAAAAACTTGTAATAATTTAAAAAAAGTTTTAAAATCCAAAGATTCTTAATTAAAAACTTATTTTGTAAATTATTTTTTTAAAAAAATCTGAGACAAATAATCTGAAAAAAGCTTTTAATCTTTAGATTATATACATACATAATCATGCTACTATCATTTAAAAGAATTCATCATATAAATTATATCAATTTGTTAAAAGTAATATATTCTAAAATTTAATTCTAAAATTCATATATAGAAAAAAATAAATCAAATTTGTTAGAAATAAAATAAAAATAAAAATTTAATTTGATAACAATCTTTATAAAAAATTGATAAATTAAAAGAATTAATTTTAAATAATAAGAGTAATATAATATGAAAAATGAAACATAAAAAAAATACAGTAAAAACCAAGGGTAATGACGTAATAGCCAAAACCACTATCCGACAAATTTGAAGTAAAAAGAGAAGCAAAAGACAAAAAGCCAGCAACCCACTTGATGACTTGAACCAAGCAAAAAAGCTGCCAAGAGCAACTCCAACTCCAAGACAAAACGCACACTAAAAGAAAAAATTAATTTCTAAAACCAACCATTGTCGAACAACAATGCACCTAAGGGCAGAGATGAGCAATCCAACTGCTGCAACAACAGAACCACAGAGGGACAACAAAGCACAGTAAAACCAACAGTAGAAAAGGATCTTAATCCACAGTACACTTGAGTCTTCAGCTACAAGAGACCGCACAGAAAACTCAACAGTGAATTAACATGTTTCTTGTTACTTAGCCAGTGATCACAGAAGCTATCGAAATCAGTAGTTATGAATCCACTTTGTCACGAGAATAATATATTATATATGGCATTAAACTTGTCACAGCCGTTGATCTCTCCGGTCAAGGTGTTCCCTTTTAAAAGACAAGGACTTGAAAGAAAGGAAAAGACATTAAATGCAAGAAGTACGACCTCCATTTAAGTATACCAACTTGAGCTCCTTCTCAAGAAATGAAGAGAAAACAAATGGTAAAAAACGATTAAATTGATTGTAAATCAGACCTGGTGGAGGTGCATGCGTAATGGGTTGTATATTTGCTATAATTAAATGAATTAAAAGTCTTTTAATATCAACTAATTAAATTAACACCTCTTTTAAAATTGAAGAGAAGCTGTCGTTTTGTTCTTTCTCATGGCCCAGTTGTTTAGCACTATTTAGCACGATTTGTTTTCTTGTGCCATCGACAGCGAAAGGAAATAACAAGATGCTTATCCAGTCAAGCTGGAGAACTTTGATCTGTAATGTAGAAATAATGCAAAAACCACAATTTATTTTTATTTTTTTTAAAAAAACCATCAAGTTCAATAATAACTAGAGTTACAACACGAATTACAAAATTTTATAACTTCAAAAGAAAAGAAAAAAAAATCTAGGCGGAAAACATGACGATTAATAGTAGAGATAAACTACAGTGGAGCAAGTCAGCAATGAGATTAATTATAGCTCAACTAGCATTCTGGGGCTCAACTAGCAATCAGGAGGTTTTGGGTTCAAACCTCTTTTTTCATAAAACACAGAGCATGCTAACGCACAAAGTACAGGATAAACCGTGCCAAAGTGATGGCCAGGATGAGAAATCCAGCAACAGTACCAGTGCCTATCCAAACATTTTTGAAATACACACTTACCAAGTACGCCTTGTTTTTGTTCCAGGAGCTCTCATAGTAATCGTTTAGCAGTTTGGAGAGAGGGTCGAAACTGGAAGAAACTTCTACCATTTCTCGGCAAAGTCTGTTAACAAGATTCGTCACCGCTTCACTGTCACCAAGCTTGCTAATAATAACTTTATTTTCAATGAGCAAATCCACATCTTTTTCGACGTCCACCAGGAAATCGAGTAGTTTAACATAACGACAAATGTACTCCTCTCCTGGATAATGTAGCTGCTCCAACGCCATGAGGTTTCGGAGCAGACATTCAGTATTGTTGTCCATTTCAAGGGGAGGCATATGTAACTCCCCTCTCTTGGCTGAAATCTGTTGCTCTTCTGAGATAGGTTTCCAGGCTCTTATGTCAAGCAAGGATTCATCTGGCAATGCCTTGAACTTAATTCCCGCTTGCTGCAGCATGGTTGCGCTATAAAGAGTATTTATCGGTCCTCCGTTTTGTAATTTTATATTTGGATGCTTAAAGGATAGAAAACATCTCACCAAATCAGTGAAATGTAGTATTGTTTTATTGGGCACGGATTTCTTTTTGTACTTCTCAAAGTACTTGCAGGAAAGCTCTGTAAAAGAAACAGAATAGTTCTTGCCCATCGCAAGCCCATATAATTCCTCAAGAGTAGAGAATGGCAGCTGATTTTCAAGCAATATCAAGTCTCGTCGAATCGCATTCCTCAACCAGGGTTTCCCTATGATGAAATCATCTTGATATTTGCTGTTATCAAGCTGGTATTCTTTATTCTTCAAGAATAGCTCGAAGATGAATACAGCATCCAACAGAATCATCTCCAGAAACTGATCACTGCCAAGCTTACTGGCATCAGCTGCATAGCAGCTGCAGATGTCCCCTTGATTATCTTTAATGGTGCTCAAAAGTTTTGTCAAAATTTTTTTTTTTGCTCCTTTTCCACTCGCAGTCTGCAAAATTCTTTCAGATATCTCCGTTTCTGAATTTTCATAGCCTTCAAGTTTTCGTTGTCATGATGAATAGGGCCTATCGAAATTACTCGAGGAGTGTAGGCAGCTTCATTTAAATGGCGAAGTGGAACAGGAACTTTATAGATACATTCCTCAGACCGAAAGCTAGTCTCCAACTCATCTGGAATTCCAATTACAATCTCATTGCATAGCTTCTCAATTGGATTTAAAGGGGTTTCTGATTGATCCATTTCTCCTCTTTGTCAATAAGTTTTCTGATCATGCGACAAAAATAAAACAGCAGTAATTAACTAGCAATGGAATTTACTTCACAAAAGCAGTATTTTTATGCTACAAGAAGATAGATTTTCTTTGCCTTTTCTTTTTCTAGTAAAACAGGTCAGGTTTCTCTTGCACCTTGCATAATGACAGACAAGGAACTTAATAAAAGAGAAGTGAGAAATTAAAAAACTTACAAGAACCTCAATACCTTGGTCTAAGAACCTAAGTACCTCTTTTTCTAGTAAAACAGGTCAGGTTTCTCTTGCATCTTGCATATTGACAGACAAGGAACTTAATAAATGAGAAGTGAGAAATTAAAAAACTTACAAGAACCCAAGTGCGTTGGTCTGAGAAGCTGAGGCACTTGATTTCCTGGGTGCAATACTAATTCTCCCCCTCTTTTTGACTCTCTTGTGCTCTTCGATACAAGTAGGTTTGAGTTCTTCTGTCCCTCTACTGCTCTCGCGTTATAATTCCTTCACTCATAGGCAACAGAGTTTTATTTTCTCTTTGTTTTTTAATTAAGAAAATGGGTGTGAACGGCAGTGCTATCTACCTACCCTGCATTTATTTTATATCCATACGCAAAAGTACCTCATTGAATGTATATTTGATTGAAATTAGATATCTTTCGCAGTGAGATTAATAAAAAAAATATATTACTCAAAAAATAACTAATAATATTCATTTAATAGAGAAAAAATAGACCAAAAAAAAAGAAGATAAAATTAAACAAATAATAATAATAATTCAACATAAGTGGAAATATTTTTATAATTTTTAATAGGTTTAAATGTGATTTTTTTTATCTGTTTTTTTTAAGTGAATTCATAAAAAGAAAACAACTAACTAGAGTATTTTAAAATTTATTGAATTTTAGTATCTCATTAATTAATGAGCTCTTGTTGGCTACGAGCAAGAAATAATTAATCCAAAAAATTGGCCAGTGGCTATTATTTTAATCGGGTCTGTCGCCATCAGTAACGCTGCTAGCACTGTTTGCTAAGAATTTTTTGAATCTCATCCATCGAATACTAATAAACAAAGAAAATTAGATGTCGCAGCCACCTACTTTCTATAGAATTATTGCTGACACTTGACTGGCCCAAGTCAGTGCAGAAAATTCTCAAATTAGCCCCAACTTGTCACAACTTTTGACACGAAGTAAACGTTGTCAAACTTTCAACAAAAAAAAAAAAAAAAACCTTTTCTAATCAGCAATCAACGATGAATATGCAATTGTGTTTTCTCATAAAAAAATGCCTATTGCCAAAAAGAAACACCTTTTGAAATAAATTCAATTAACGAGGGAACTCATTGAATGGTGTGAAAGACCGTTGACAATCTACTACGGAAAAATGTTGCATTTTTTCATATCCATTTATAAAGGGACCTCATTAAATATATATTTGATTGAAATTAGATTAATCAAATTAATTAAGTCAATAAAATTCACATTTCATTTTGTAATCTAATGATATATCATTTATTTTTTATTTTATAATTATAATTGTTCTATTAAATGTCAAAAACTTTATTTTGTAAATATTATAAAAAAATAAAAGAAGTGAAGATGAGACTATTTACTTATTGTAACTCCTTACCCAATGTTCCTATTCATAAATTTTTATTTTTACTTTGTTGCTTCTTGGTTCCTTTTTTTTTCTTTTGAGAAATAAATTAATTAGTTCCTTTTGTTTGAAAACTAATTTTTTTGTCCTTTTTTATCATTTTATTATTTTTATTTTTAAGAAATGGAAAAAAATAAAAAAATAATTCTTTGATAAATAAATTAATTAGTCCATTTGGTTTGCAAACTAATTTTTTTTATCCTTTTTACCATTTTATCATTTTTATTTTTTGTTTTAAGAAATAGAAAAAAAGTCAAATATGAAAAAAAGACATTTTATTTTTTTGAAAAAAATTATCTCGTCCAATCAAAAGTATCTTAGTATTGTATAAAGAGATTGTGAAATCCTAGATTGGGTTATTTTGATGATCCTTATTCGTTTTCGGGTAATTATATAGATTAATGTGGGTGAAAAAAGAAAGAAGGAAAATAAAAATAAATGCAGCAGAGAGAGATAAAGATGGTTTTTGAGATAAGAAATTGAAAAGAGAGAGGTGCAAATAAATTTCAATGATTCATAAAAGTGATAACTAGAGACCTCATTTCTTTTTACTTTTTTAGGACCACCATGTAGAATTAAGAAAATGACAAATTGGAAGATTAAACAAAATGATCTTAGAAAAAAACAAAAAATAAGTAAAATATGAAAAAAGATATTTTATTAAATAAAAAATTAAATTATTCATTATCAATACTGATTAAAAAATTAAATAATTTTATTCTTGAAACAAAAAGAATTAATTAATTCATTTCTCAAAATAAGATGAACTAATTTATAATGTAATTTGCAATTCAAGAATCGTCTTTCATCATAAATTAAGAATTTATGGAAACCAATTTTGTAATAGTTTTTATTTCAATTTATTGATTTTAATATATTCAATATAACTTAGATATTTTTTTTTAAATTTGTTTATACTATGTATTCTAAATCTATATAATATGATCTGATATATAATATATATATAATACATCAATTATTTATTATTTATTCTTTTTTATGTTCCAAATCAATATTTTTTAAATAAAATAATTGAAATAACGTTTTAGAAGAACCTTTCAATTATTCAAATACAATTTTTTATACTAATATTATTAATTATTTTGTTAATAAATATATATAAATCAAATGATTTTACTTAGCAAATAGATTTAATTTATATTAATCACGAGAAATAAGATTTTTATCCGTACTATATCATATGAATCGTTGACTTTATGTATATAACGGTTATTCGACCGCAACGTAATGCGGTATCCAACTAGTAATTCATTAAATGATTTGGACAAATTAAAGTTGTTTTTTCTTTCATTATATATATATATATATATATGTATGTATGTATGGCTTATGTCTGTAGTTTTTCTATTCATATGTTATCTCTAAAAAAAGTTTATCAAAACTCAAATATTGTAATAACCAAGAGACTTAAATAATGTATTCATCCCTAATACGGTACTCCTTGAACTCATTTCGGGGCTAGTTTTTATTCTCTTTTGGTTGTTTGTTCAACTTACTCAATTCTCAATTATTTGTCCCATAGCAGAAAAATTTATCAATTTGAATCTATAATGTTTTAAATATTTTTCAATTAGTTGGATTTTTTTATCAACATCTATTAGTATTTGAGTTAATTTCAATTTACTTTCGTACGTGATGTTTAGAGCGAATTCAATTTCTTCTGTTAAGGCTTTAATTGTACAGTTCGCACTTTTTTTTTTTTTTTTGGCTCTACCTACGAATTTTTTAGTAGTTGTTTTTTTTTTTTTCCACAATGAGATCTATTTTTACAATAATGATATTTAATTATGCGGATTAATTTATCAGTGACCTTGTTAGTCTGTTCTTGTAAGAATAGAGGCATAAATTTTTGGCTTTTAAATTTAAATAAATTTTTTCCTGTTTGACAGAAAATCATTTGCTACTAATGAGGAATTTTTTTGCATTTTTAAGTGAAAATTGAGGTAATTGAATTTACACAAATAAAAACCATAAATTTAATACACAATAAAAAGATTTATATATATATATATATATATATATATATATTAAGTTTAGACAGTGAAAGGGGGTTTTCTATTTTTATTTATCCGTACGTACTGATCATAGTGGAAAAATTGTATCTTTTCTTTTATCCCAACCCACAATCTGAAATTCCGACAACTCATACGTTCATCCTGCTAGTGCGTGGTATCAGACGGCTCACCGTGTATTTATCAATAGTTGTAATTGACAAATTTTGTCCACTTGACTTGTCCATGCTGATGAGATAATATATGATGTCATTCAATTGAGGTAAGTCTTATGTAATTAAAGAGACATTTTGATTTTGATTTTTTGATTTTTCCATCATTAGTGTAGTCGAAGATAATTTAGTTTTAGCTTTATATCAATAGACTTTTGGTCTACTGTTAAATTCCTTGTACTTTGAAAAGGTACATAATTGGCTAACTATTAATACTACCTCTCTAATGCTAATAATTTATTGCTGAAATACAAGTCATCATAGTTTGATTAGATTCACGGACACAAGAATTACTTATAATTTATTTTTCAACAAATTCAACACGTGCG